TGGTTCCTTCGTTGGTGGTCTCATTATGGTGCCATACTTGAGATTTTCCCACCAGTTCTAATGGAACTAGGGATGGCAATTTAAACTCAGCCCGATGGGGACCCGACCCCCCGACCCCGATTAGAATGGTTTTTCCCCCAAAAATACCCCTGACGGGCCGGGGATGGTATTCGAAAATGAATCCCTAATAATTTTCGAGCCGGGGACGGTGATATGTTTTTTAGCCGTGGCCCGGCCCCGATCCCGTCCCTGTCCCCGGCCCGGTTTTTGCCCGAGTTGAAATTACATATATGCCCCTATATCTATTCATATATATATATAGCTAAGCCTCTTTATTAGTGACTATTTACCGAATAGTGAGCCAAAAGAGCACAGAGAGAGAGACAAAAGAGAAGATCTGTTGAGCAGAGAGCAAAGGTGAATCAGCGAGAGAGAAAAGGGAGAGAGAGCAAGGGTGAAGAGAAGATCTGAGGAGAGAGAGAGAGCAAAGAGAGAGACCGTCGCCAAGACACTACCGTCGACCGTCGTTTCTTCTCCTCTCCTAGCGACCGTCGTTTCTTCTCCGCGCCACCGCAGCGGCCGTCTCTTCTCTCTGCAACGACCGTCGCCGTAGCCTCCTCCTCTCGTCTCCACCACGACAGATCTCTCTCTCAAACCTCTTTCTCTCTTTCTACTCAGATCTCTCTTCTCAGATCTCTGTGTAGTGTGTGTGTGTGATGTTGATGATGTTTGCTAAGGTCTCTCTTTCTACTCATATCTTTCTCAGAGAGTTATTTATTTATTTATTTTTTGATGTTGTTAATGTTGGTGAAGATCTGTTGGTGATGTTGTTGAAGATCTGTGTGTGTTGTGATCTGTTGGTGTTGAAGATCTGTTGGTGTTGTGATCGTTTTTTTATTTTTTTATTTTTTATTTTTCTGGAGTTAATTTCTTTTGAAGATCTGTTGGTGATGTTGTATTTGAGCTCAAGTGGGTTATTGATGGCCGGGGATTTTCGGGGTCGGGAAAACCCGATCCCCGTTAGGGGGCGGGGGTGGGGGCGGTTGTGGGTTCCCTGTCGGGGATCGGGGCCGGGGACGGGAGAAGTTCTGCGATCGGGGATTAGGGACGGGGAGGGTGATCCCCGGCCCCGCTCCGCCCCATTGCCATTCCTAAATGGAACATGTCAACTATTTTTCCTCTGTTTACAACTTCAGTCAACACCAAAAACAGTTTCCTTCGTTGCTCATATTTATATCAAAATACAAAGTTCCCTGAATATTTAAATGGAAATATGCAATTAATAACAACATAGTCATCCGCCAACATTTTTTGAAATGGTGGGATAACTTCAAAGTTTTCTGCATTATTGAACAAGTCTAACTTGAATTCCCAGTCAATGTGCATGCTCCAACCCCAGCCATGGTCAAAGCTCAGCAGAACCCAACTGCTTTAGTCACTCAAGGAAGCCAACTTCCTCCAGTCAATCTTGGAAGTCTTAATGATCCAACATCAAGTTTTTCCAAGCCCAAATCATCCAAGTCCAAGATAGTCAAGCCAGATGAATCAAGGCCCAAGTCAGAAAAATCAAAGTCAACCAAATCAAAGCCCAAGGTTAAGCCTGGATCCGCCAGTGATAAGTTACTACAAATGACCCGTCTTCTGATGGATCAAGCCCAATCACAAATAAAAGATGAACCATCTGATAATGAGTCTCCTAAACCAGCCAAACAGTCCAGTTCATCCAGCTCATCCAATTCAATTGAACAATCATCCAGCCATGATGCATATGCGGCCCATTTTCAAGATGCTCAAGACCCATATGCATAATATAGTCATTGGATTCTATATAGTTATAATTATCAGCTTCAATCAATACTCTTCTTTTGAAAAAAGCTGCTGATATATATATATATCTATATCGATTCCCTCAGTCACATGCCTTTTCAAAAAGCAATGAATAGTGAAAAAAGTCAAATTTACTGTTCACTATTCATCAAAAAGTCAACATTACTATTCATTATTCATCATAATTCATCCCACCGACAAATTCAGAACAATCAAAGGCAACCATCAACTTTAGTCACTCACCAAAAGTTGCAAACAACTCCCATGTGCTTCTGTCAAAGTCAGATTCCTTCACAAGGCTCATAGTAGCTCTTCACAAGGCTCACAGTAATTCTTTTCATCTATAAAAGAGCCTCTTCCGTCAAGAATAAGGCAGAGTTAGAAAAAATTGAGAGTGTTCATTCCTCAAGAAAAATAGCCATCTCTATAATTTTATTTTCAAGTTCGTTTTCAAGTTATGTATTTTGAAGAACTGTTTGTTTCATTCCAGTAAACAATTGTAAGTTTATTATTTATGTTTATTTAAACTGTTTTAAACTGTAAACAATTGTAAGATGTTTCCAGTGTTCACTAAGGGATTTAGAAAAGATAAGAATATCGTCTATACAAACGATGGAAAAATGACTAAGGGGATTGAAAATATCATTCATTATGTTATGAAATTCACTAGGAACATTTTTTAATCCAAAAGGCATAACATTCCATTCATAATGCCCAAAAGGTACTGTGAAAGCAGTTTTATAACGATCCTGAGAGTGAATTTGTATTTGCCAAAAATCACTTTTTAAATCAAATTTACTAAAAATGACAGCTTGACTAAGTCTTGTAATTAAATCTTTTTATTAGGAATTGGATAACGAATCCATTCTAAAACTTTGTTTAATGGAATTGGTGTGGCTGCTGTGCGGGGTGCACAGCAGCCACTGCTGTGCAGCCAATTGGGCCATTTTCGGGGCCTATTTTGATAGTTTGAACCGTTTACATTTTACAATACATCAAGTAGAATATACCTGTAAAAAATCAAGTTAATCGGATATCGTTTACCCATTCATCCATTCACATTTGTATTCATTTTAATACTTTAAATTACAATTGTTATTTATTTTTGTAGATACAAATGTGTGTGGATGAATGGGTAAACGATATTCGATTAACTTGATTTTTTACAGGTATGTTCTACTTGATGTATTCTAAAATGTGAACGGTTCGGATTATCAAAATGGGCCCCGAAAAGGGCCCAAATGGCTGCACAGTTGTGGTTGCTGTGCACCTCTGCACAGCAGCCATCCCAATTCCTTGTTTAATAGCCTGTAGTTAATTACTAGTCTAGGAACTCCTCTTTCTAATTCAACATTTTTATTAACATAAAAGGCAGGACAAACTATTCTACTTGATGTATTCTAAAATGTAAACGGTTCAAACTATCAAAATAGGCCCCGAAAATGGCCCAATTGGCTGCACAGCAGTGGCTGCTGTGCACCCCCGCACAGCAGCCACACCAATTCCATTAAACAAAGTTTTAGAATGGATTCGTTATCCAATTCCTAATAAAAAGATTTAATTACAAGACTTAGTCAAGCTGTCATTTTTAGTAAATTTGATTTAAAAAGTGATTTTTGGCAAATACAAATTCACTCTCAGGATCGTTATAAAACTGCTTTCACAGTACCTTTTGGGCATTATGAATGGAATGTTATGCCTTTTGGATTAAAAAATGTTCCTAGTGAATTTCATAACATAATGAATGATATTTTCAATCCCCTTAGTCATTTTTCCATCGTTTGTATAGACGATATTCTTATCTTTTCTAAATCCCTTAGTGAACACTGGAAACATCTTACAATTGTTTACAGTTTAAAACAGTTTAAACCAAAGGCTTGAGTAGTTATTCCTTGATTAGAAGTAGTGAATGGATAAAGTAAAAATATAAATGGTGTTCCTAAAATAATTTATCAGTCATATTTCTAACTAAAACAAATGATGTTTTGAAACAAATATTATTTTGACAAATATAGACTTTTGGTAATTTATATTTAATATGCATTTTACTGCTATTAGCAGAAGTTAATTGTTCACTTGTTTTATGATAATATTTTGTAGAAAGTAAGCCTTCTTGAATACAATTAAGATCAGCACTAGTATCTATTAAGGCGATGACTTCTAACTCAAAATCATTGACAACTAATTTGATTTTTGAATGCCATTTTTGAATATTAATTTTATTGATAAGATTTAATCATTTATTTTCAAGATTATCAGATGGATTGGATCGATTATCGAACAGAATATTATCTAGATTAGTATCTTCATTCGTACCTTCTGATTTATTAGAAGAGATAGCATCATTTTGTTGAAAGTTGTCTAGACTTTAATTAATTTTTAGTACAGATATTTCTTCTTCTAAAATTTTATCTTTATTTTGTAGATCTTTGATAAGACGTTTAATCTGATTAATTTCTTGTTGTAAATCTTGAAAAGTGACTTCTTTTTGTTTATTTTTAAATCTTTCTAAAGTTTTTGTTAAGCTAATGATGGGTTTGTCATGTTGTGGTTTAGTATCTTTGTTAATTAATAATGATTTTAATTTGTCAATATATTTTTGTTTCAATTCATGATTATCTAATTTACTAATTAATTCTACAAGAGCAATTTTTTCTTGATTTTGTTTAGTAAGGACAGTGATTTGCTTAATAGGTTTACAACAAGTATCATTACATCCTAATTCAATATCATTATCAGAAGTATCACTAAGTGAATGGTAATCAGATGAAGTATTTGAGTTGAGTATATCTGAGGAGAAGTTATTAGGAGATTGATCTGGACCATTGAATCTTTTCTAAAGTAATCTAGACCGTTGCAAGGAGGGAGGTTGGAGAGAATGTCTGGAGAGGATCTCAATTCCACATCATAACCAGAGGGTGAGCATTATGCAAACTCTTTAAAAGAATGCATACTGTAAATTTTATTATATTCCTATGTTAAAATAGAAAATACCATATAAAGTAATACATCTTACACTTTTTTTACTAGGTGGTATGTCATATAATAATGAAAAATTAAATATCACCTCAATGATATTATAAATGTCACATGATGAAATTTTAAAATGAAAAGCATCACTCACTTCAAAGATATGGCACAATGAATATCTTTTAATATAATTTTTTTTTTTAAATTTGTACAATCGTAAAAATGATCGCACATAGATGGTGCATTTTGTCACATAAATTAAGAAAAGACAAGCAGGCTCTCATGATTCATGAATTTGAAAAAAAAAAAAAAAATTATGGTGACATATGGTTCCGCAGTTGTAAAATATCCTACTGTAAAAAATTGGGAAAAAGAAAAAGAAGAAGGAGGGGGAAGTGATGGTAATCAATAAAAATGGAGGACGGAGCCTTCGTAGATAGTGGTCAACTGGATCCTGAAGGAGCGAACAGCAACCTTAGCCCCGCCTGAGTATCTGTATCTGTTCTTCTGCCGCTGCTTACTCCGGATCCTCATGCTCTTCTTCTCAGAAACAGAGCTTGATAATACTCCTCCTCCTCCTGCTACTCCTAGTGCTTCTTCTGGATAAGACTTATCTGAGAAGCCCTTCAATTCATCACGGTCCTCCTCCACCATCTCATAATAATAATAATGTTTACCATCAGAATTAGAAGATGAAGGAACTCTCTGATGATGATTATCACGCTTACTCGTACTCGTACTTTTACTCGTACTAGTATTATTGTTAATGTTGACTTCTTCTAAGAAGAAGGGGGAAATTCTAGCCATGTTGTTTTGGCGGGCACGAGCACGGTGGTGGCGACCTTGACGGATAGAGGAGGAGGAGGAGGAGGAGGAGGAGGGTTTGTTATAAGAAGAAGAATTGGATGATGATTTATGGAGGGAGTGGGAGAGGGCGAGGCTGGCCTTGGCGGCCAAAGCGGCCATGTCGGAGGCAGTAATTGGGTACTGAAGCTTAGAAGCGGGGAGGACGAAGTAGAGCTGATCCGGCTGAAGTTGGTATTCCCCATTCAAAGCCTTAAATTGCACTTATTTTAATATTCTACAATGTTGCAACTGAGCCTGTTAATACCACAGATCATGAGCCTACATAACCAGAATGCCCACACAGTACAGTTAGACCAAATATTGTTGTGTAGTTATGATGCTGATATAATGCCGAACCAGTTTAGGTTGTTGACTATTCACATGCCACATCATGGGTTCGTTCAACTCTTCTGATCAATTTGGTTTGGGCATCCTAAGAAGTTTATCATCTTGTCAAGTTATTCTACAATTTGTCAGTACTATTCTTTTCCTTTTATTATTATTTGGAGTATGAAAGATGAATTATGCTATGCGGTTTCTCTTTTCCAGAAGCCTTTCATTCAGATAAAGCATCATATCTGTTAAATGTTTTTCTATTATCAATGTCATGTGTGTATGGCCCCTCTCCTTTTAGAATTTTTAATTTAGAGTAGATGTTTTTGGTTGATGGCTTGGCCATTCTATACCATCACTCATTTGAACACCTAATTGGCGCTGTTCTAGTGTTTTTTTCACCATGCTGTTACCTTTTCCCTCATGTTTCTTTACTACATTGACATTTTTTTTCTTGATTTCAGTTGTTACATGGAAGAAAAGTCTTCTCATGTTTGAGAATTTTTTATCATTAGGGATAAGGCCCAAACCAGACTATGTTAATAACCCTAACTGAATTTGCTGCCAAAATTGGACTAACAGCTTCCACTGGCTGATTAAGAACTTGTGTATCTTGGTGATCCGATATGCATAATAGTTGGCTTCTCGCATATATGTTTGAATTCCCATCCAAGGTTCTAGCTAGTAGCTCTTTGATGCTCAATATGAGACTGTAACGGGGATCAAAAGAAGAAACAGAAGCAATTGGAGTCTATCTGAGTATGCAACTGAGTTGGTTTCCAGCTTGACTTTGCTGTGACCTTCTGGAAGACATTTCAATGTACGACACGAATCTGCAGACTGCAGTAGTATTTGTTGCCCAGCCTATATTTTTGACAAAACCCACAATCCAATATGTTATTTTACGGTGATTTCTAATTTGTACGATTGGCTCTTAAAGCCACAAGGACATATCCACTCTTACAATTCGCCTCTATATTTGCTAACATGATGCTGTTTTCATTAGACATCAATCTTAACATTACATGTATAATTTTTTTGTTACATTTACATTGCTTACTTTTATATAGTAGAAAGTCTTCTTTGTTTTTTGTTTTTTTTTTAAATAACTATTTGTTACTATGCAGTGGGAGGGGAATATGGTGATGCTTGTATGATCCAAACTGTTCACTACTTGTTACTGCTGGATTTGACTCATTAATTAAAAACACAGCTGCTGAATGCTTCTCTATATGTAAAGGTTATGAGAGATCAACCAATTTTAATTTTTGGTCATATAGCGACCCCGGTCTTTTCCCATTTGATTATTGTATCCGGACTTAGGTTCCGTAGATTCTGTCATTGTATAATTGTTTTTGTTGTCCTTTATTTTCTCTTTTGGAATTATAGGATGTGTTGGGAAGGTTTGTTCCAGGTTGGTTGGGTTTAGAAACCAAGTGTTGCTGTCCTGGTTTTTGGTGTTTCGCTCGAGCGAGGAGTTGGTCGCTCGAGCGAGATGTCGTTTTTGTTCTTCGCTCGAGCCGGGGTTTGGTAGCTCGAGCGAGAGTTTGCGTCTGGGTTGGACCTGTAGCTTTGCATTCTTGGCTCGAGCGAGCTTTTCTTCGCTCGAGCGAGTTAGTTTGTTCATCGCTCGAGCAATAGTTCCTTCGCTCGAGCGTGAGTCTGGTTTCAGACCTGAGGGTTTGAGTTCTTCGCTCGATCGAGAGTTCTTCGCTCGATCGAGCTTTCTTTCGCTCGAGCGAGCTTTTGGGTTGTTGGCTCGAGCAAGGCTTCCTTGGCTCGAGCGTAGTTTCTCTGTGTCTGGTCGCTCGAGCGACCAAGGCTTCGCTCGAGCGAGCCTGTCCAGTATATATTTACAGCAGCGGGATTTGATCAGTTTTTTTTCATATTCTTTGGATTCCAAACCCTAGGTCCGACTTCTCTCTCTCCCTACTCACCTTCTCTCTTGGGTTTGATCTGTTTAGAGAGTGTTTCTACCCTAGATCCTTTATTAAAAAGATAGAGGGAGTCGAGGGCTTTCATTTAATCTGAACATTTTTAAGTGTGATTAATAATATTTAGATCACATCTTTTAAGTGTAATTAAAAACTAACAAAACCTGTGATAATAAACATTTAGATCACATCTCTAAATGTTATTAATTACACTTAAAAAGATGTGATCTAAATGTTATTAATTACACTTAAAAAGATGTGATCTAAATGTTTATTATCACAGGTTTTGTTAGTTTTTAATCACACTTAAAAGATGTGATCTAAATATTATTAATCACACTTAAAACGTGTGATTAAAAATGATCCTTTTTAATCACTCCCAAAGATCACACTTTGATAAAACTTAAAAAGTGTGATTAAATAACATAGATCACACAAAAAAATTGTGATATTTATCTATTTTTGTAGTAGTGGGCTTGCTTTTTCGATAACGAAGCTCGGCTTGAGTTCACCGGCGGTGATCGGGGTTTGGGCGGCGGTGTTCTTCACCTCAAGGTTCGCTCTTTTTATCACTTGTATACATGTGTATGATTGATTTGATTTGAATTGTGAGAATTGTTGAACTAGAGTAACTAGTTATGATTATGTTTACAATTGCTCCATAGGCAATGTCATTTTGGGTTTGGATTGTATTGGAGAGCTTTTAAAGAGTATAAATGGTAGAACAGAATTTTGGCTACTGTTATCCGATTAATTTTTTTTTTAATAAATAATCTATAAACATAATTGAACAAAAATCAATTAGTCAGATAATCTTGTGGACAGACCAATAGAAGGATCCTGATCTGCACCATGTTGTGCCTAATATTTGACTGTAATCTTCTTCTACCTATCTTTTTCCTTGTTTTCCTTTTTTCATTATTATTATTTTTGATTATCCATGATGCCATAGTTGTCTGATTTTAAAATTAAAGCAACTTTTATTGATACATATCTCGAAGTACACTCCTAATGAGTATATATATTCTAGAAAAATAAATAAATGAACAAATGAAGGAGTGTTGTTGCGGAACATGTGCCTACAAGTTTGGGTGCCTGTTCTTTTCTGATTTGGTGCATAATCTCTTAATTTCTTTCTTCATTCAAAAAGTTACTGTTATCTATGCCTGTTTGCATAAAGTGCATGGCTTTACAGGTAAATCTTCATGAATCTGAAAGAAGCAATCTCATGTGCAAATATCTTGTTTTTTTTCGTGTTTAGTGTGGTGGTGGGAGGAGGGGATGAGGTTGCTGTTGAGCATTTCAAGTTGGCAGTCAAGGATGGGTAGCGTAAGGTAAGATGCTAAACAGTGTGCTGTACATGACTATAGGTGTGTTGGGGTTGGATGAAGATAGTAGTTTTCTTATATTGAGTTAGAACTCATATTTTTGTATCCAAGTGTCGGCTTGGAAAGATGTAAGCCTGTAGGGCATTTTATTCGAGGATACATGTAATGCTTTATCTTGTAATACTCTGATGAATGAATTAGTAAATTGTCTTCTTTAAATAATGAATGTCAATGATATATAATGGGTTAATTTTGAGGGCGTTACAGGTCATTATCTTTAATTGTTTTATTTTTGGTTCATTTGTTGATGAATTTTCAGTGTGTTGAAGTTTTAGGCAAAATAGAAGAATTGGAGCTGAAAGTTGTCTTTTGTGTGTAGGAAATCTACTATTTCTATCTGTCTTCTTTGAAAGTCTATATTTGAATTTGGGTCCCTTATTTCTAGTGCGTATGAGTGAATCTAGAATCTTTTTTCAATTTACTGCTTCAGTTTAATGCTGTCTTTATAACTCTACAATCATTTAGAAATCGATCTTTGTTTGCAAGACTCATTCTTTTCTTTTTGAACAATCTTATGTTCTTACATCTGTTTTTATTTTCTTTCCCCTGATTGCGTGACCTTTATCATTTGCAACTAACAGTTGCACGCAAATTGATATAACTAGAGGGCACCATGTGTCTTGTAGCCTAATTGGTACATAAATGCTACACCCAAAGTAAAATGGGTGTTTCGAGCCTCACTAATTGGTACGTAGTTTAATGTGATGTATGATGCTCGTAATAACGATGCGAAGAAAGGACATGAAAAGCTTGAAGGAAAATGTGCTTTTTATTGTTGAATTACATTAGATCCAACACAATTTTGCTGTTTAGTGTAAATCATTGTTTGGTCAGTGGTGGGGTTTGAGTTTTTGTTCATAAATTTGTTTACTACGAAATGTGAACTGATTGAGGTTAACCATTGTCTTCAAGTCCATGTCTAACTCGACCATCACCACCATAATTATTGTTGTCATCTATAATCCTCCTCAAAATAATATTTGTAAGTCATAACTCAGTCTCATTCTCTCTTATAGGCTGAGTTGATATAGTTGTGGTAGACTGGTAGTAATTTAAACAAGAATTTTGTCAGCTGGAAATTATATTCTTTTTGTTGCTGTTAAAAAAAGGAAAATACAGGGTGTTTCATTGGGAGTATGTGCAATAAAAAATTTCCAGTATGAATGAATATGGGATAAATGTATGGAAACTTCGAAATGATACCCCAAATTTTCTCCTTTTATTTAGTATAGTATAGATGTACATATTAATGTTCTTTTTCTTTTTATGTTTAGTTGTTTAATTGGTTTGGTACTTTGATTTCTCTTTGTACAGCTGTTGAGTATCTTTAGAATTAGATTCAGAACAAGACTGCACTGCTATGTTGATGGAATAAGTTAAAAAAAATTTACCTTGTTCTGTGAAGTTTAAAATTTGTTGAGACCCATTACATATCATTTTGGCTACATCAGTTTGATTTATTTATATTTATTTATTTATTAAATTTAAGAATATGACTATAAAACAACCACAACATAACTATACTAATAAATAAAAATTCAGACTATAAAACAACCACCACATCCTCTTAGACAGCAGGCAACATTAGATCATTAAACACCAGCAAAATGGCAAGCAACAGCAGACAACAAGCTTCAGCAAGAAGGTAACAACAACAGCAGCAGCAGTAGCCAGTAGCACAGAACCTAATTTTGGAGAAGCTATGAGTATGGAAGGTGTCACTGCCATATTTTGGTGTTTCTATTGAAGAATATGTGACTAATTTAATGGGCCGACCGTTTTGTTTCTTAATAATACTGATATCTACCACACCGACTCTGGTTAAATGATAAATTTGATTTTGTTTGGAAGCAGGTTAGTTGAAAAGACCACACAAATATACGATAGTAAATATGATCTCAATGTTTGTGCTGACGACGTTGTGACAATCCGTAGTTTGTTACACATAAAACATTATCTGGAAATGCCAAACAAAAGATTCATCTAAGTAAATATAATTTGCGAACAGATCAAAAAAATCCCCCTTCCTTTAAGGAAGAAATAGAGTTGGAAACGATCATTTGGCAGCTTAACCAAAGGATACCGCAATCAATTGATTAAAATTCATTACAAAAACCGAACTAGATAAAGATTGCAGATCTATCACATAAGCAAACCCTAGAGAGAGACAAATAGAGGAAGAGAGAGAGAGAGAGAGACCTGACTGAACTTGGTCTAGAGAGTGGAGTTGACTTCGTTGAAGGCAATGTAGAGGTTAACGAACTCCTTGTAAGCCTCATCGGAGACGAGAAGCTTAGCCATCTCATCCCAATCTATGCTCACTACTACAAAAATAGATAAAGATCATAATTTTTTTGTGTGATCTATGTTATTTAATCACACTTTTTAAGTTTTATCAAAGTGTGATCTTTGGGAGTGTGATTAAAAATGATCATTTTTAATCACACTCCCAAAGATCACACTTTGATAAAACTTAAAAAGTGTGATTAAATAACATAGATCACACAAAAAAATTATGATCTTTATCTATTTTTGTAGTAGTGAGCATAGATTGGGATGAGATGGCTAAGCTTCTCGTCTCCGATGAGGCTTACAAGGAGTTCGTTAACCTCTACATTGCCTTCAACGAAGTCAACTCCACTCTCTAGACCAAGTTCAGTCAGGTCTCTCTCTCTCTCTTCCTCTATT